ACTTACCGTTTTGCCCATTTCTTAGAAGCAATCACAACATATCCCCACATTCTTTCAAAACGTTTTTTGTCATCGGGAATCAGCTCATGAATAACACAATAATGATTCTAAATAGTTAAGGTCAGACTAGAATTCACCCAACATCTGTGATTTTGACCACGCGTGTACCTACTGTACATGAGGATTGAATATGTTTCAACAGGATGTAACTACCCACTAGATAACATCATAAAAATTTCCGAGTTTCTAGTATTCTAATTAAGCTGTTGATTGACCTTTTTCCTAAATTTATTTTTCTTCTAATATTGCAAAGACGAAATTAGGGATTAAGCTTAGTGTGCTGCCTAAAGGTAGACGTCTCACGAGTCATAAAGTGTCGTCCAAGCCTTTGTTTATTGTTTTCTTTCTAAATTTTGCTAAGCAACAAGAAAAACGTTCGAAATTTGGCACAAGCTTTGCGACAATATCAATGTGTCTATAAAGGAATAGAGTATCAATGAATACTTGGGATTCTTTTTTTTCAAATTAAAATTTTTTTTCGATTCATTTTAGCAAGCAAAGGACATCTCACAAGGTTTTCTTTCGAATTTTTCTTTTTTGGATACTGCTAGTGCTTTTCACTCTGAAAACTCAATTCTTCATTCAAAAAATAAGGGAGACAAAATTATGATTTTCCGGCTTACTCTACCGCTTAAAATCGATTTGAATTGTTCTTGTAGCGTTCTTTCTTGGTTCGTCAATTTTCGAAATTTATCTTGAAATTCTGGCAGAGTTTGAAATTGGCTCTCACATATGTACTCCAATCTGATTAACATTCTGGTAGGGTGGAAGCTATTTCATACTATTAATATTGCTTTGAATTTGTGATAGGCAAAGTTAAGCACATTCCAAAAAGTGCTACTTTTGTCGATCGCAAAGTTGCTTGTTGAATCGTTACCATCAAAATTATGTTAATACTAATTGACTGTGTACATTTATCTGAAAGAATGATTAATTGGATTGAGAAACCTTACCTGAACAATAGTCACGTTTAGGTACTGTTTCAAATTTTCGAACTTGTTTAAAAAGGAGCTGCCCACTTTATCAAAAGTTTTCATCCGATAGATTTTCGCAAGCAGCTGCAAAGAGTGTTTTCAATTTAGAAAAAAGAAACAATGCCGAGCCTCTTACCAGCCGCATTTCATCTTTCTCTTCGTGAGTCGGTAGACTAGCTAACCATTCGTCGAGTTCAGTAGAGTTTGACGTAGCAAAGAACGATTCAAAGTAAGTGTTAAGTTCGCTAATGGAGCTTACATTCTGTATCGAGTAAGCACTCCGAATCTGCAGCTCTAGCAAGGACCCAACAAAGAGATAGAAGATTGATTCTAGCCTCATTAATCCTGTAAAACTCTTATAAAAACAAGTGGGTGCATTATGCCGAGTCGTGAGATCAAAATAGGACCTTTAAGGAAGAGGTTGTAGACAGCTGAATGCAACGAAACCATATGGAAAGTTCAAGTGTCATTTTTAGAGCGACTTTATTAGTCAGCACGTCACCTTGTTCAGGACGCCTGACAAATACGAAGTGCGAAAGATAAGTTTGCTTTTGTTAACAATCACTGAGCAAAGCAAACATCATCCTATCAGTGATAATCTAAAAAATTGTCTAAAAACGAGTAAACGTCTTTCTTTTATGTCACCTACACTGGTAGTAACGGGATGCATCTTTACTGGTGACAAGCAATCCTATTCTCTTCATTTTCTGCGGCAAATTTTATCAAAACAAAAAGAAATAGTGGATGTTCTCCTTATGGCCAAAAAAGGATGATGGAAATACAATAGAATCGTAAGAAACGTGCAAGTACTCTTTGCTATATTGGCAGCTTTATGTGTGTCATATGATTCGTTTTATTGCTCCCAAGCGAAAAAAGCCATATTTGTACAGTATGTAGCATTAAAGTACTTTTGTATCAGTACAACTAAAGCCTTTTTGCCAGT